GTCAGCATCAGCTCTACCAGGTGGGCAATCAGGGTGCACCCTTGTGAGCTAGGTATTTTCCAAAAGAATGAGAGCAGGTGTCCTTTTCGCATTCAGAGAGACTAAAAGAAGAGAGAGAAAGTAGAAGCAAAACACAATGGCAGTTCATCGTGTTTGTGATCTCACAGCAGAATAATAAACCTCAGGTGTTCCAACCCTCCTGGTTTTGGCTCCTAGGAGGGAGTTAGTGGAATTACACAGGACAAGCTCAAGATCACATTGAAATGAATTCCAAAGAATTAGTCCAATTAGTCCAACACCATGACATCACAGGTGTGGTTACGAAAAAAAAAAAGATCAAAGCACACTGAACGGTGATGCTGGATGTGATCTACTACATACCTTTAATGTTCTGTTTGGTAGGTGAGTAAAGTGAGTGGTTGTTGGACAGACAATGATTAAAGAATTAGCACTGATATGTTTTTAACTCCAGTTCCAGATCACTGTTGGTGCCCCCAAAAGCCAGTCCGTAGCGCAAAATGACACATAGCATGTGTGGCTGTCTGTTGTATCCCCATTTCTGACACCATACATTGTGCTTGTTGTTCTCATCCTTGTGTGTTGTGATGCCAATCAGGATCACCAGCACTACCAACCTCTGGAAGTACCTGGAACTTGGATCTAGTATCACCTCCTGAGCAGTGCCAAATTAAGTTTCAGGAACATGTCCTAAAAGAGGGCGGAGAACAATGAAAACAAAAGCAGCAATGGGTACATGTTACGCTATAATTTGTTAAGTTCTTGCAGTAGAAATGGGCTATTTGTTCTCCAGCTAGTCATAAACTTCTGTCTGTCTGCTGTGTGGTTCTGGGCAGGTAGTATACAGTAGGTTTATCAGAGCTTTTTCATAGAAGTCAAGCCAGTTCAATCTTATTTTCATAGCCTAATAATACAAATCATAAATTTGCCTAAAAGGGCTGTACAATCTGTACAGCATATGGCACCCCCTGTCCTCATACCCACGATTCAGATGAGGAAAGAGTTCCAGTAAAATCAAAATGGAAGAAAGAGAAACAAAGGAGGGGTCCTTTCTTCCAGGACAGACATACGTGCAATAGATGGTCATATGCACAGAATAGACCAACATAGTAAAATTAGAGTATGACAAATTGTAGATACTGTATATGAAGAATATGGATCCAAGAGGATGACATAAAACTTACCGGGGACAACCCAAAAAAACAGAAACTGTGCCACACAACCTCACTATGGAGCTCTGAAAGAAGGATGGACTACACAAACACACAAGAGGCAATGCTCAAGCATACAATTCACACAGGTAGATGAGAGGAGAGGCCGAATCTCCTGGAGGACGAAGAACCAGAACCAAACATCTGGACTATTATTGTCAGCAGGACAAACATGAAATTTCAGTACAACTTCAACAACTTTCAGGCCTAATAGGTTCATTGACACAGGTACAAGGCCGGATATAATCAAAGCATAACCAACTTGGTGAAAAGTTTTTTTAAAGACCTCAACAGAGCCCGACTGTCTGATGTCAACAAGGAGGTTATTCCAGAAGACAGGGAAAAAAAGGTCTTGTAGCCTACTGACTTCTTTTTAACTGACCAAGAGGTGAAATATAAAGAAACCAAGAAGAGAGAGCAAGGCCGGAGACCCCAAATTTACTTTTCAGTCATTCTAGGAGTATCTACTGATCTATAGTATCAAAAGCTGGACTGAGATCCAATCACAAAAGATTCAACGAGATTACTGTTCAATATGTGGGCTGAAAGTTGCTGAGACACAACTCTTTGTAGTCCTTTAGGTTAGAGAGACTGGTCAAGATCCTGGATCAAGATGTGGTTTCTTGAATCCAGGGGAGCTGCATTCATATTTTTTGCACAAATTTATCATGTGCACATATTTGATTTAGGTGGGACATTATGGAGGTGCTGGATCAGGTAGGAGAGGACTAAACATTCAGATATTTTTAGACAGAGCTGTACAGACTCCTGACAAAGCTGCCATTGTTCCTACTGTCTGAAGGCTTGCTGGCCCACAGAGGGATGGTATTGTTTTATCATGTAATGCTACCAGTGATCTGTTCAACGATAGCACCCTATGTTTGGTAAAGTAAGACAGAAGTATATCACAGCCACTATTAGGTCACCTCAGCTCAGTCTAGTGTTTGACTGAGTCCTGCTGAGAACAAATGGAGACGAAAGCAGAAACCACCTCCTTTAAGACGGCATTCTGGAGGAAAAAAGAAAGGAAAGGGAAAATGCCTTTTGTAAAATGATACAGAGCTCAGGAGAGATGCTTGACAAAGTGCCATTTTTAAATTTTCTGTTGCTTTTATATTTTGTTATTTGGGTAGGTGACCAATCAAACATGCATGCATTAAAAAGCATACAGCCCCTCCAAGCTAAGCAGGCACACACATGTGCACAGCTATCCACTGAAAGGTAACACCCTGGTACTGTGCCAGTCTGAGTGGAATGACCTGAACAGGCTTGGTGGTGATTATTATCAGATGATACTCACTTTCCACACAGGAGGAAGGAATAATTGTAAGATTACCTTTCACATCCCGCTCAAATAGTCCCAAGAATATTATAACATTTGATTTGATTTATTCCTTAAAGATTTGATCAACTGAAATAATCATATCATTTTCATACTGCTGAAGATAATCAAATTATCACCAGAATAAGAAATGTCCTTCATCTCCTATCGCAACACAGGGAGATTCAGAATCATTGTCAGCTACTGACAGAACCACAGGGATTAAAGGGGGATTTGTGTTGAAAGGTAAGCACTGCACCTATGCCATACACTATAGCTGAAGTGCACTTCCTTAACATTGTAACAAGGTCAGAACAGGGCTGTTTTTTTTTAGACTTTTGATAGTGGAGACAGCATCAAGACAATTTAACTCAGTAATGGATGTTTTTCTTAATTTTTTTACTTAAATTCTATTTCCTTTTAATTTCTTATTACAAACCAAACACAGAGATTTGTGTCAGTTTGGTATACAAGATATTGATACAATTTTCTTTCTTTACTTCCTTTATAAAGAAGTTCTAGCAGTCTCTTTGTGCTTCATGTCCCCCATTTCTCATAAATCATTGATTGTTCTTCCATATCATATACAGTCAGTTCCATAAGTATTTGTATGGAAGTGTACTGCTGCCACACTGAAAAAGAAAAAGAGATTAGTATCATGTTAAAAGGTGTATCAAGATGTTTTTTCCACATTATAACAAGATATTACCCTGCTTTATTTGAAAAGTGTCCTGAGATAACTTCTGTTATGAATTGGCGCCATACAAATAAAATTGAATTGAATTGAAAATATTTTTATGTTATTGCAACTAACAAACATATCACGTTATAAAAAGAATCTTTTCTTGTTAGAACAACATATCTATCTTATCTTGTTATAAATAAATCAACGTGATAACATGAAACGCTTCACTTTATAATGAGATAAATAGTATATTATAATACAACGTGATACGTTTATGTCGTAATAACGTGAAAACATCTTGTTGATAAACTTATGTATTTATAAATTGTTTTTAGTTTTTGTTTACGTGAAGTGTCTTTGAGTTTCTAGAAAATGCGCTCTATAAATAAAATAAATTATTATTATTATTATTATTATTATTATTATAATCCCTTTTTCTTTGTCTGGTGTGGCTGCAATATGTTGCCATATATTTGGACAGTGACACTGTTTTTGTTATTTTTGCTCTTTACACCACTACAATGGATTTGAAATAAAACAATTGGTGTGTGCTTTATGTGCAGAATTGTATCTTTACTTTGAGGGCATTTACATCCAAATGGCATTAATGGTGTAGGAATTACAGACATTTATATTTGTAGTCTACCCCCTCTTAGGGATAAAAAGTAATTGGACAACTGGCTGTGTAGCTGTTTAGCTGTTTAGCTGACAGGTGTATGTTATGCCAATTGTAAATTAATACACAAATCAGCTAATGAAAGGCCTAGAGTAGATTGTAAGTGTCAATGTCAGTTCAGAAGGCCATCATGAGGGTTAAAAATCTGAAACAATCAGAGAAATAGCAGAAATTTTAGGTTTGTGCAAGTCAGCTGCTTGGTACATTATTTTAAAAAAGAACATACTGCTAATGCGAGCAATATGAAACGGCCTGGAAGACTACTGAGGTAGATGACAGAATAATCCGGCCCCTCTTAATCAGCCACATCAAGAAGACTATCCAAAAGGCATATCTGTGTCAAAAACCACGATAAGGAGAGGACTTCACAAGAGTTTTAACCACAAGATGCAAACCACTTGTAAAACTGAAGAACTGAATATCCAGGTGAAATAATTACCTCTGAAAACCTGCAGAGATCTGGAACCAGATCTTATGAACTCATGACACATAAACCTCTGGCAGAGCAGGGGGAAAGAGAAGAGTGTGGACGAGAAAAGGAACAGCCCATTATCTTATGCACACCAACTCGTCTGTAATACACAGCAGAGGTAATGCAATGGCATGGCCCACATTCAACCCGGTGCCTCACATCTAACTGGACGGTGCTTCACACTGCAGCAGGACAATGACCCACAACCCAAAACGACCAAGTACTTTTTCAAGACCAAAAAGTGGAAAGTTCTTGAACTGCAAGCAGGAACTGATGACAGCTGCAGTAGAGGCCTGACAGACCATCACCAAGGAACTTCAAATATGATGCTGTAGGTGCACCTCTCATGTCATTTCTGGACGTTCAGGCCTCAAATATGCAACATCTGATTAGCCTTTCAAAATAAAGAGTGGGTGGTTACCATTTAGAAATGGTTGCAGTTTGGATACGTTTAGACTTAACTTAGGGTTAGTTAACTGACACGAACAGCGGTCTCCTGGATTAAAGTCCTGTGTTTGAGTTATCCATCCATCCCATCACCTCCATGTATACTACATCACCTAACTTAATCTGCAGCTACAACTACTCACAGTAATTCATCACACACAAAAACAAAGAAACGTTAACTTTAGTTTATTCACACATTTTGTTTTTTTTTTTACATTTGAAAATCTGCATATTCTGTACATTCAGTAGTTAATGGTGTGGAAGACTTACAGCCATTTGATAGCCACATAAGACATGTATGAAGTGTTTCCCTGACTGTGACAACCAAAGTCTGCTGAGGAACTGATTGGAAAAGGCAGTCAATGTATGACAGACTTATTCACACACAATACAAAAACTGCTGCTGCAAAATGGCATTTGTATCAAATCCAGAATCAGGTAGAGAAAAATGGACAGAATGGAACATGAAATAGAACTGACATGTGCTGGAGGATATTCTGGCACGAGGAACACTGTGTAACCTTCAGTGTTTATTTTCACTCAGATCTCGAAATACTGCATTATAAAAATGATCAGTGAGCCAAAAGGGAGGGAGCTGCATCCAGAATGTATCATCAAAAGAATGAGCAGAAATAGTCAAATCAACTGGATTGAAGACATCAGTAAAACTACTTCTGGACAGACATAAAAAACCCAGGCCATATGCAACATTACAAAACTGCCTAGCTCAACAAACACTCCTGGTTTTGTTATAGTTCCATTCCAGCGGCTGCCTTTTGTAGAGGACACAGCCTACAAAAGTCTGTAATTTGGAAGACTGAGGGCTACTGGACTGAACCTGTGCACCCAAAAAGACACCCTAGCCTCACAAAGACAAACTAATTCATGTGATCCTTCTCAAAATCAAAGGAGGTCTCAAATGGCTGACATCTACACATTACAATGATCTTACAGCTTCCCTGTATGTCACATTTTGTGAGATTGGGGTGGCATGGCCCAGGAGGCAGAGTGGTCGTCTAGTGATCTAAAGGTTCCTGGTTTGATGGACTCCTCAGATAGGTCTTTTGCACCAGGAAACCAACACCGCTCAGAGCACTTTGACCAAAAATAAATTGGTTCAGAACATGAAAAGATGGTTCCAAGCTGGAACCAAACTAGCAGCTTTACCTTGGGGAACCAAAGGTGATTGTGCAACACCCTCTGTTAATGATGCATCCTTGATTATAATGGTTCTGTTCAAAACTGATGGAAACACGGGCTGGTTCGCTAGATAGCACCAAGGTTCCAAATGTCTTGGACGGAACCGGTTCATGAACCAGAGATAATTTGGTGGGGAAACACTAAGATTAGATAAGGTTCCAAGCTGGACCCAAAAAATACTAGGTTTTCCTTGGGAACCAAAATGGGTGTGTCATATTCTACAAGCTGTTGTGCATTGAACCATTTCAATAACCAGAGCTTATCTGGTGGTAAAACAGAAAGAGTGTGGCGCAGTGACCCTTGCCTAACCTATCCTAATGAGGATAGGATAGGTTAGGCAAGGGTCACCTTGCAAGGCTGCTGGCCATCAGTGTGTGAACGTAAGCATGTGTACGTAAGCATGTGTTGTAAAGCACCTTGAGTGGTCGGTAGATGGGAAAAGCGCTACATAAATGCAGTCCATTTATCATTTCATAAAATCTTGGTTGCAATTTGTCAATTGAAATGATACTTTCTGACTCCACGATGGCCCACGTGACATAAATGTAATCATCAGAGTGTGTAGGCTTTATGTGGACACCTGTGTACCTTCAATTTGTTGTGACTGCAGAGTGTCCGCACAAACACTACACTACAAGAACAAGTCTTCGCATGTGTGGAAATGTCCTCCAAACGGACTCCAGAAAGCAGTATAAACAAAACCAGTATGCACCTGTGGTGTCCACATCTGTCCATGTGTGAGTATATTCAGGCCTTTAGTCATAGCGCTGACAAAACATAATGAAACATTTTAGGCTAAGAAAGTTGTGTTAGACTGTGTATTCTGATGGGCAGCAGTCACCTTGTGAATTTGGTCCTCGGTGCTTAATCACTTGTCGGTAAACCTACCTCAGAGTGAAATCTACGTCCTGTGTTTTGGATTAAAGATATCCTGTGGAGTTTTTGACCTCTAGTAGCGCTATGGAGCAGTCGCTTTTATGAGCCCCATTATATTGTTTGGTGTACAGGCACAAGGATGCACATGCAAGGGCAGAGGAGCAATACATTTATATTCCACTGATCAACAGGTGGCAGTAATGCTAATGAAATGCAAAATGTGCCACCAAAGGCAAAGAAAAGTGCTGGCTGGTAAACATGGACCTAGACAATGGAGGGTTCACGCTTTCAAGAAAAATGGCTTTGCAAACTGAGGAAATAATGCACTACATTTTAGGGCTACAACTAACGATTATTTTCATTATGGATTAATCTGTCGATCATTTTCTCGATAAAGTTGTTTGGCCCAGAAAATGTTGAAAAGTTGATCAGTGTTACTAATCGATTAATTGACAAATCGTTGCAGCCGTACTAAACACATTTGTTAGAGCTCGAGGATACACACTGCATTTTGGGGAGTAACACTCAATGTAAAAATACCTTTTGTTTGTTTACACACAAACTCCACAGGACAATTTTAACAACCAAAGATTTCACAACATTTTCCTCAAAACTGGCAACGGTTGTTGGAAACATTTCCAGGCCATAGAGTGAAGGGGCCTTTAGGAACTGACTGTGCCCTTTACATTCAGGGAAGAGAAGGCTGCATTTGGAGGAGCCTTTAAAATAGGACGGGTCCTGTCAGGCTGTTACTGTTATTCAGTCTGAAAGGCAGACTTCAATGGAAGCAGCCCCTGAAATGGGACACAGGAGTGTCATTTATGATTGTGGTCTTTTAGTTATTCATAAAAAAATATATATTTAATGCAACTCCCCTGACCTCCATACTCACTCTCTATTTTGCTGTGTTAACACACTTGTAGTCTTGTCTTAAACTTAGCACATTTTTTATCCAATTTCTGTCGACCTGCATGGAGCACGCAGTTTCAAAATGTGCATTTTTCACAAAATGTCCTGACAAAAGGCTACAAACAAACATGCAAATTTAAATATGAGAATGACACTGACATGTTGATGCAGGTGAACATTGTTAGAATGGGATTCGTTTTAGGAAAACCAACTTTTAGGTGCCACAAAATTCCACTACGCATTTTAAACACATGCAGAGACCAAGAAAAAAATTGTTTCCTGTGGCACAGGCATTATTTAAACCCCAAATCCTACATTTTATTCTAAATTGTCAAAATGAAAAATTCACAGTTTAATCTCCACAACAGAGTTACCTGCAAGAGATGATGAACTTTAAGAAAGCACCCAACATTTCTGCCATAAAAATCAAAGAACACTTGATTCCAAATTATTCTTGTACAACAGAGTATTTGAACTCAGACACACAAAAAAAAAAGAAATACTTGAGTCACACCAAACATATCACAATACTTTCCAAACTTTAAATACATTAAGAATACCAGAGATCAATGCTTAAATAAATTCTACAAAAATATCTGTTGTACATGTAACATATTTACATTGACTGTAGCTTCTAGTGATTGAGTGTCAGTGTTATCCAAACCAAACTGCTTCAGTGAGTAAATTTGGTGCTTTCAGAACAGAATTCTATCACAGTGCACTCACTCCAAACTCAAATGTACTACATATAGTGTAGAAATGGATAAAGTAAGTTGATTGATGCAGAACAATTTCACTGTTCAACTGATAGTATCAAATTATCCAAGCATTACACTTAAAGCTGCAGTAGGTAACTTTCATAAAAATAACTTTTTGACATATTTGCTGAAACTTTCACTATATCCTGACAGTAGTAGATGAGACAGATAATCTGTGAAACAATCAGGTTCCTCTGGCTCCTCTTAGTGCTCCTAATGGTGTTTGAGCCAAGAAAGATATAAAGACGCTTTGGGTTGGAAGATTGAAGACAGTTGATTGTTGAGGCTCATTCCCAGCTGTATTTGACAACCTGGGAATGAGACTCAATGATGAACTATCTTTCCTGGCTGTGATTGGTTGTTTTTGTTCAGGCCTGGTGGATTCTTGCACATTTTATCCATCTCATGTTTCAGCAAATATGACAAAAAGTTATTTTTATATACGTTACCTACTGCAGCTTCACAAAGGAAAATTTGCCAATTTTCAACCAGCTTTGTATCATTAAAATGTTGCTAGTATACGCAAATGAAGAGTGTTTAACTTCCTCCATGTTGTCTGCACCCAGAGCTCCCCGCTCAGTCGCTGACAAAAGTCCTTCTGGCAATCCGACTGTCAGTGGCTGTAGAGCTGTTCCAACTACAGATTGTACTTCCGCATTCTGTGCATGCTCGTCTCCACGGACAGTCAGATTAAGTGAGATTAATTAAGAAATGATTTTCCTGGATTATTTCTTGACAATACACAAAGGGTCCTATAATTTGCTGGTAGGCCTAGTAAACCCCACTTTTATTTCTACTTGTTTAATGATGCAGGGCTCATGATGAAGTGCCTCAGGTTCATTACAGATAGGTGGTCAGATTGCTTTTGTGGTTGTTCTCACCAAATACCATCTTTCTGCTGAGGTCTCTATAAAAAAAGATTCAGTTAACATTGCTGCGCATGTATTTATCGACCACCAAAACCAATTTAAATGTGATCACTATAAGGCTGCATGCGTGTAGATATGACCATCTACAGCATTTCCACTGGGTTTCTTTCAGAAAACCACTCGTGGAATAGACTTGACGCCAAAAAGGGCATTCTACTCGGTTCCACTTTTAGTAAGTATTATACTGAGCAGCCTATCCTACCAACTGTCAAATTTCAAACAAAATATGCATCCAGGTTTCCAGAGACGATCGGAGTTAGCGGCTAAAATACAATTAAAATTGTACATAGATTATTTACAGGATATTTGGCCACTCTGTTGGAAGTGTTTCCATGAGTGAAAAACTAGTCTCAAAATGTCCAGGTTGTCCAGGATGCGTGGGAACCCTGATGGACGGAGACAAATATTGTTCATTTGCAAAACTTCTCACATTGTAATGATACAAAGTTGGTTGAAAACGTTTCCCAAATCAAAGTCCAAAATCCTCCTCCCCCCCAAAAAAAAGTTATTCTTGCATATCAGATATAAACGTCTTTTAAAGACACACCCTGATTTTGTTACAGCACCCTGTAGCAGCAGTAAACCATCAACTTCAGTTACTGTCAGTTGAGTTCTGATGCATCAGAAGTGAGCTGGGACGAAGTTTCATAGCCTCATAATCAACGATGGACTTCTGGCAAGTCAAAGATTTTGTTTGGTTATTTTTTATAAACTGTAGTGGGCTTGTTTTAATCTTCTTTGAGCTTTATTTTACATGTTGTGGCTACTGTAGTCCTGACTGAGACTGTGTTGTGACAGATGTAAATCAAACAGACCTTACTGCCCACATCTCCCAGCCATCTGTAGCTTCATATGTTGTCTCTGCTTTCTGTTCATAGCAGAGTTACATAAACTAACACTGCTTTTCTCTTTTAACATAACAAGTTGATGGAGATCCACATCAGCTGCAAAGCTCTCATGGGTCAACTGTCTCTCTAACTGTCGGAAGTGGCTGTCAATGGGCACAAAATGAGTGCTATTTACTTAATCAATCATTGCACAAACTGAAGATGAGGGTGGTGATTTAGAGTTTTGACCCTTTTTGGGATTTATGCTTGCTTGGGTGATAAAACAAAATCAGGGAGTTTACCATGCAGAGGTTTTTAAAGCTAGCTCAAAGAAGCTCAGCACTTTGAAGATTATGAGTCAGAAAGAAAGTCTTCATCACTGCAGCAGTTTGAGTTCAGCTTCATATAGCTTGGTTAAAAAAATAAAAGAAAATGGGAGGGGATTAAAATAAACTCGTTGGCAAGTACGAACTTGATGACAATCCGACCCAGCAAGGATAACATCGTACACATTTTGACTATTGTTAATAATGCTAAGTGTACTAACAATGCTATCTGCAGTCAAATGAGGTTTTCTTTTGCCCACAAAAAACATAACCGTTCCTCAAATGAGGCGCGCCATTGCCATCCTTCAGCAACTGTTCTAGCTGTAAAAAAGGCTGAACAGGAGCAGAGAACTCTCCTTTGAATGTGTTGAACTGGACGAACAAACTGGACTAACCATCCCTCCGATCAGACCTGTGGACATTTCTTCCAGACAAGGAGCATAGTGATTGCATAGTCTTTATAAAATGGTAGCCGAGAGTTTTTAAGTCAGCCTCTCCTCTTCTGCTATTGTTCCGTTCACACATTGTCGAACTTGTGTTTTAAATAGTCTTTCATAACCTTTGCGATTGGTAGATCCTCCAAGAATTTCAAGCTTTGAAGACCAATGCAGTGACGGATTTTTATTCGACACAAGTCTTGTAGAGTCCGAGGTTGTCCTGAAAGAGGAACAGAAACATTTATTACACAGTGGAATGAAAGGTGATGGGGAGCTCATTACTACAGCAGCCTGAGTAATGCATCAGTGGGGTGATTTATCAGCTGATTGGAGCTATTTCCAGATAGGTTGGTATTAGCTTTAATGTCTTCTGATTAGTAAAAATCAACTAAACTAATGGAAAAAAGTTCTACAATCAGTTTTGTGCTTAGCTAATTTACATACTGGTTATGGAAGAGAAAAAAACTTTAAAGCACCATGTATACAATTAAAAAAATTGACTGTACTTCTTCTAGTGGTAGTATCAACAAAAAAAAAAACTGCCAGCGCTAACCACCATTTCAAGACCTCAAAGCTGTACATCCATTATGAAGCTTAATTGTCCCTCTTTCAGTTTTCTGTTTCTCCAGCAGCCTTCCAAATCAGTTTAATCAGTTCCCTAAATCACTCAGCATCCACTCTGTTATCAGCTGTATGCAAACAGATGGGAAGAATCCCCTTGATTCCAGGAAGAGATCTGTGTGGGTGTTATCGGACTGACGTAGGTACTCATGTGCCATCGACACACTTCTCTTCCTTCACCACAGAAAACACCTATAAGCTGAGACCAGTGGATCGATCATAACAAACCATTTCCATGGACTTCATGATGCTCGGAGGAAATTTCAATCCAAGGCCCGTACCATTCCATTCACCTTCACTATACTGGGATGGAGGCACAAGTCTCAAAACATCCACCTACTACAGTACCTGTATGCCTCACAGCTGTGTTTCCATCCAAATGTATGGTAAATCTTAAACTAATTCTGAGTAATTCGGCAGAAGAAATTGCAAATGAGTGCTTGTTTACATCCATAAATCCATACCTTTATGCAAAAACTAGCCTCAGGTAGCGTTTTGCCATTTTTCAAAAAAAAGTGTTTAATAGAATTTGAAGATCACAAATCTAGACTTGGATGTCAACAACAATGGAAACATCATATGTGATATTTCTCTGGTGGAGTATGCCTAAGCTTTTGGTTTTGCTTTAAGTTGAAACCTTTGTATGAGGACAGTTGAAAAGAGCTGGGTGCCTGTCATTCTGTGTGGGACGAGCCTTTCATGGCACATGAATTAATCCAGGAGGTAGAGGTGTAATCAATAACCCAGCAGATATGTGATCTGGCTGAGGGTTTGCAGGCTCTGAAAGGGCTTGTCTGAATCAGTGCACAGCTCTTTGATATCTTTGATATCAAAGTTCAGGGGGTAGAGGAGGAATGCAGCCATTGTTCCCTCTAAATCATAATGCTTCAGGTAACGTGCTCTCCTGTTCCTCCAACCTGGGATTGTTCTGTGACTGAACACTGGTCATTATAACCTGGTGTTGGCAAGCAGCCCTCTTTCCCTCTATACATTTCTCAACTTTTTCCTCCACTCAACTTACAATAAAAAGCTCTATCACTTTTTATACAAAACTCACTCCTGCACCCAACCCACTATCACAGATTTCTTTTCAAGCTTAAAGACATTAACTTTCCCCTGTGCCACACTGCATTAGCAAACAAGCATGAAACACTGGCTAGTATGCATGATTACAAATACAGCTTACTTCAAAATTCAGTCACTAATGCAAATATCTATTTTCTTAGCATTCTTAATAAGAGGTACGTCCCATTACACAAAAAATCTATGCCATCTGTAAAACTGATTTTGATAAAAAACACTTCAATAAGCTGTGCATTGCACTTCACTCTGCTGTTTGGAGATATTACATGTTAGACACAGCAAGCTGAGGTTTCTGGTTTGGACGAAAGAGAACTGAAGCTGCTCATTCAAATAAGACAAGAAGGAAAGGTGGAAACAGGGACAAACGAACAAACCTTACACCACACTCAGCGGCTAGTGATAGAAGCCATTGAAACATGCTGGAGTGTATGCATTTTAACTGCTGCCGCTTTTCGAGCCTTTACAGTACGGGTTTAGTGCCACAGAATCACCTCACGTGACACTACTCAGCCAATTGAATCTGTGCACTGTGACTCGACTCAACTCAGTGAGTAAGATACAGTAACAGCCAGTGTGACAGCGAAAAAAGAGCTTTTAATCCAGAATGCACAGACTCTTACATGTTTAATTATAAAAATATCAATCTAAGAGCCAATATGATCAATCTGCCAGAAAAAGGAGTGTCTGTGTTTTTGATGATATCATAGTTATATTCAGTGAAGAAGGTGGTCTAACATGACCTCAAAATTCAAAACATTTATTTTTTCTTTCTCAAAAAAAAAAACAAAAACATCTTTAGCTTGAATAAAATATATGCAAAAAGCTAGGGCCAACTTGTAAGGATTATATTTATCTTATTATTATATAATATTTCTTCTACTATCAGATACTTAATTTAAAAAGGATTGATGATTGAAAGCTCTGGACTGATGCACCAGTGGCCATGCAACCCTTAACTTAAGGAGAACTCCTTAAACCTAAATTAAATTGTGAAAAATTACAGTCAATTTTTAAAAATAACTTTTTGTCATATATGCTGAAACTTTCACTATATCCTGACAGGAGAGCATGAGTGCTCCTAATGGTATTTGCAAGAATCCACCAGGCCTGAATGAAAACAACCAATCAGAGCAGAGATTGAAAGATGCTTTGGGTTGGTGGCTTGAAGATAGTTGATTGTTGAGTTTCATTCCCAAACCATCTGTATTTGACAACCTGAGAATGAGAAACTATCAACTATCTTACTTGGCTCCGATTGTTTATATTTAGGCCTGGTGGATTCTTGTAAATAAAACCAGACAGTTTCCTTTGCTTCTATTAAGTGTAATACATCAGACTTTTTTAAATGTTGGTCAGATAAATTGTATCATAATAATAATAATAATTATTACCACTATTATGCACTTTGTAGATTCATCAATTGAAATAATCAATGGATTATTTAATGATGATGATAACTAGATGTTGGGTTAGGTAACATATGGAAACAGGTACCTATACAGCATGTACCGCTGTAGGACATGTTTGTGTGACAGGGAGTGTGTGGGTGAGACTCACTGGTGACCTCCTGCAGGTAGTCCAGACAGGGCCGGCTGATCCCAGACATGCTAACAGATACAGCTACCGGTGTCTGGCCCTCGTAGTTTCTGGTGTTGGTATCGGCCCCGTACGTGTAGAGCATCTCAGCGCACAGCACGTCGTCCCTGAGGGCCGACAGGTGAAGAGGAGTCTGGCCGTCTTCAAGACGTCCAAGATTAGTGTCTGCTCCTCTCTGAAGGAACATGCGGCAGTATGAGTGGTTGCCTTTGATGACAGCGTATCGAAGTAGGAAGCCATTCTGAATGTCAATATTGGCGCTGTGGTCCAGGAGGATCCGTACACAACTGGAGCGCTCACGGATGATGGCCAGCTGTAGCGGTGTGGTCCCTTTGTCACTCAGTGGATCCACCTCGGCCCTGAACTCGAGGAGGAGGCGCACAAATGAGTCTCGGCCGTAGTGGGCGGCCACGTGCAGCGGCGTCCAGCCGTCGTTGCTTTTTGCGTTTATAATGTCACTGCGAAACTCAGATTCCAGCATCAGTCGGGCGATGCGCGCTCTGCCGTGCATAGCAGCATAGTGAAGTGCTGTGAAGCCACCGATAAAGTCCTTCACTGTGGGGTCGGCTGCACAGGGGAGAGAGGAAATGAGAGTCAGCTACAGCAGGAGCTGCCTTGACACAACTATGGTTAACTAAAACTTTTTAGTTAACTCAAATAAAAATTAAAACTAGACTAAAACAAAAACTATCTGAAACAATATTCTGTACTTACAAAAATAAAATAAAATAAAAAATATACAGGACTGTCTTTAGTTTTAGTCTTTGTAAATTTGAGGAGGCCCTGGTGCATGTTTATTAAGACTACATGATTATGAGTCAGTGTGTTTATATTGTAATACCTATTCTGAACCTGACAGATCCCCCCATATAACAATAAAAACTAAAACTAAAACTGAAACTAATAAAAACTAAACTGAGTAAACAATCATAGCTAAAGTGAAACCAGCAAACCCACTTGAGAGACTAAAATAAATTGAAAACAAAAATTAAAATAACTAAATTAAAATAAAAACTAATGAAAAATACAAAACTATACTAACTTGAGGCAGTGGGTGAACGATCTGTGATCAGCTGGGGCTCTACAGTCCATCTAAACTCTAACCTACCACAAAGAACCTCTTTACCACTGCACAGTAATAGTTCTAGCCCACAGCGCCCTCTAGCTATCACACTTTAGCTTTGCTACTACACTTCAGGACTGACAAACAAGAAAGTGCACTGCAGTTTAAACACATCTCACCTCAATGGAGAACCTTTAAACTTCCTTCAGCTGTTCATAGCAGTTTCAAATGGCCATGTTTTACATGACTTTAGAACAACAGTTATACACACTAGTATTAACACTCATTTCACCATCATTTTTCTTTTAAAGGATATCTAATTGAAGAGGAACAGTTCATCTAGCTAACAGCTGGAGAATGTTCCAGAAAACTGGACCATGATTTACAACCATAACAGTTTTTTACTCTACTTTATTGACCTGTCTGCATATGGTCTCATTGAGGCTTTATACAGGTTTTATACATATGTTTTGTTGTGTGTGGACCCCAGGAAGTGTAGCTGTTACCTTAGTGGCAACTAATAAGAACTGCTGAATACAGAATAACCAATTAGACGATAATATGTCAGTGTTGTGATGCAGCCAAAGAATAAATTAATTCAGCTTTCTTATTACAGAAGAAAACTGTCTACTTGACTGGATTTTTATCATACAAATGACAAGCACCGTATTCTGCATGACTAAGAAATGCGTATTTGTATGCAGGGGGCGTTTAAGCCAGGACTCAATACTAAACAACAAAGATTTAGGATATATGGTGGCTCCGTTGTTGGTATTTTGGAGCTCCACTGTTCCAAACCGTTATTAGGTATGCTGTATCTGTCCCCTTCACATATGTTAACAGTTGGATTTGTTGTTGTGTAGCTTAAGGCTGCTTGAATTATTTTCATGGCGTTCTTGATGATACTGTCATGAAATTTGGTATTTTAATGTTTTGTGTACAGTATCATGCGTATATATATCTACATATAGATTTTAAAAAGGTTATTGTAGATCACATTTTCTGCAGATGTAAGGAACTTGTAAGTGTTTTAAGGAATATTTGTTTGACTGTAAGTAGATATAACGGGTCTATTGTTTGTGTTTTGTTATAACTTGAATGAGTTCAGCTAACACAAAGGTGAACGAGAGGCTGTCTCTACCAGTAAAACAGTGCCCTCTAGTGTTTGGACAGTTAAACCTGTCATGGCATAATGCTATCCACCAAATGGGGCCAATTTCTGCAGCCAGAAAAAAAAAAACCCAAAACAAAGCCTCTGACCTCCGTGCTCCAGGAAGACTCGAACACATCTCTCTTTTCCTTTGGCAGCAGAGAAGTGGAGCAGGGTCCAGCCGTTGGCATCGCGAATCTTGGGTGAGTATCCTTGCTCCAGCATTCTCCTGACAGTGCAGACATCCCCTGCTGCCACTGCAGCCTGGATCTGCAGCTCCTCATGAAGCTCAGGGTTCCTTCTGCAGTGATGGTTCAGCATCCTGTCACATTTCAGAAAGGAAACATATATCTGTACCCAACTTCTGCTTGGAAACATTGGAGAATACATTCTGTTTGTAAGTTTCTGACTCACTCGCCAAGCGTTGGTGACCTGCCGATTATGCTATTAAAATGTTCTACCATCCAAAACCATCTACATGTTTTCCATACTGTATAATGTTGATTGAACATTGTCTAAAGCACACCTGGCAGACAGGTGCAAAAGGCGGCAGTGGAGTCCCACACAGCACTAAGTTTACTGATAAGCTGTGATTTGATAATAGACACAATATGAAATAACATCTTTATACATAAGCTAAAGGCTGCAAAAATCAATCATAAAAAAGGAGGAAAATCCCAATTACAACCTCACTGATACTACAGTACAGGGTTCCTACTCTTTTTAAGAAATCATTTTCCAGGATACTTTCCAGGAGTTTTTCTTGACAATTCAGGACAGCACTTGCTCACAAACAGTGATATAATTTTTCGGTAGGCCCATCATTGACTTTAACTCCAGATTTATCCTTTTTTGACAATGAAGTGTCTCAGACTCATTACAATGGCGAAACGTCTGTTTCACTCCACATCTGGTGTGAACGGTCATATTGACTCACATGAAATGAGATGGGAGCGTTTCAAATGTTTTTACGTTCCACTTCATGTCTGGTTAACCCACTTCGAAGTGGGTCAGCTACTAACTAAATATGCACCTAGGTTTATAAGCAATCGGAGTGAGGGGCTTAAATACATTTTTTCCAGGACAACACAGATTATTCCCAGGATATATATATATAACCTTTATTTAACCAGGAAAAGTCCCATTGAGTTACAATAACTCTTCTCCCAGGGAGTCCTGGCCAAGACTATATATATATATATATATATAGACATTACACTTAACTTAAGCTAATTTTAATCAATTCCCAGGTGTTTCCATGAAAACACGTCTGTAAATTTCCACATCAGATTTCAGGACACTTGGGAGGCCTGACATACTGATACCTATAAAAACATTTGAGTTTAAAAAAAATAATGTTAACGAAACACACTGGTTCTTAAAGAATTGTGACTAAAGATTACCTGAGTCTAAAGATCGGTACTGGGGCAGAGTCCAGGCATATTCTAATGGATTGGTATTGGCTAAATAATTCCTTTCTTTACTGTGATCTATTGTATTTTATCCACCGAAGCCTAGTGTCACTAGTGCCACACAGTCATTCACAGCATATGGGAGTGAATGAGTGTGACGAATGATTTGGGCACACCACTGAGTGACTGAGTTCAGACAAAATACCCAGGTGTGCTTCGACGCCAGTTATCATGAGCAAAAAGCAGTGAACAAAACTGCAGCTGCTTATTTGAAGCCAACTGCAGGTCATATCAGATGTCACTTAACTAAAAATATGTTAATGTTAATTAATGAAAAATGTTTTGTGGTTAAAGTGCTCTCTGCAAGCCTCTGTCTGTGCTCTGCCACAGATCATTTGCTGGCAAGGAAGCTCCACTCAGTAACTGTATAATCAGAGAAGATTGATACTGATATGTCTGTGGTGAGCTAATATTGGCCAATGCATTGGCTTAGCTGAATAAACGACCGTTCGGCACTACTGTAGAAACATGGTGGTTCAACATGGCAGCCTCTGTAGATAAAAACAGCTCATTCTAAGGTAATGAAAACACAATTCCTATATTCAGGTGATTATACACTAATGAAAACATACCTATGAATATTACACACTGGACCTTTAACACAGTCAATAACTGATCAAATATAAAATAACAAGCAATGAAAATAGACTATACACCACAAGTCAAACAAAATAAGCAATATTTATCACCAAAAGGAATTTGTTGCTATGTTGCTTAGCGTCCGTTAGCTCAGCTGTGTGTTCAGTAGAACAATAATTCACATTTTTCACAGAAAATGGTAATTAAGGCTTTCAGTTTTCTGATTCTCCTGTGCAGCCAACAATACCACTACCAGCTGAAACACGTTTTAGAAATACAGAACAATCGTCAGTTTGTTGTATGTAGTGAAGATGCACTTCTGAGTATCACAATAAATGTATTATTCTATCACTTTAATTCAAACATAAATCATATCATAGCTGCACTACAACAATACTTACCAGTATTCGGTGTAAGTAAGCCATTATTGTAATCGCATTTCAATTCACTGTAACACAGTAATGTCACGCATTACTGTTCTTAATTCAGTAATCACATTAAAATTACTAATCAAACAATTATATTGTAACTTGCACTACAAAATTGTCTTGATGATGGGCTCATAGAAAAATATGAAACGTGACTTTTTGTGTAATTCTGAGGATACGGCTTCCTTCAACTCTGACACTGAAGTTATTGAATATTTGAAGATGGGGTCACAGATGTTCCTGAACTGTTTCCCTACAATATCTATGAAAGTCAACACACTGACCCTGTCTGGAGCTCCTGTGGACAGGCTCTTCAGCCTGGGTAGTGTTGTGCTGACTCCGAGGAGGAACAGGTTGTCTGAGAGACTCCTCCACCACTGCTTTAATGATAAACAAGTCAAATAAACTGCACTAATCTATTAGAAAGCCACAGTTTGGGGCGTTTAATGCAGTTCATATTACGTGACAATGCATCTCAGAAGTAATGTAACAAGTAGTATACTTTCTACACTAATTGTGATTCTGATTCTGATTAAGTAATGCATTTTTTTTTTAAAGAGTAACATGTAAAGTGTAATACTTTTTTTGAGAAACATACCCAACACCAGTCCTTACAACCTACTGCAGTTTCAACAGAATAATAAATAAATAGTATAGTTTTTAGGGGTTTAGTATAATTTTTTTCCCTTGTGACTTATAGCCACCATTGGGTGAACAGTCATGGCACCTGCATACTGACCTCATGTCTGCAGATTATTGTGCTGCTTCATTAGTTCAGTCAGGGTTTTTATGACTGAACCTTTTTGTTTTGTTAGATAAATCTGTCCCCATAATGAATGCTCATAATGAAGAGGTGTGCAGCAGGTGTAGGTTAAACCTCCAATTCAGTGATCCCTAGTGGCATTAAGGTGACTTGTACAGGACACTGCAGCCCTATTTAATTTTGCTTATGGCGTTGCACAGCGGCAAGGGTACATGAGGGACATTTTGTCATGTGCCTATGACCACAAAGGTCCGACTGTTGAGTGCAGACCATTTGCAAACTGTCAAAATGTATGACTGTGTGAACCTTACTCCCTGACAAATATGTGTGAACATGTCCACCTATGCGGACACCCAGTGCAGTGCAAACAGAACTGCAGTCTGGGCACATTGTAGAGTATATGCAGCCCCTAAATCCTAGGTGAAGTTTAAATCACAGCTTTTGAGGATAGTCTTATTAGTTGATAACTATTCTTCTCAGAATATTCAATGAATTACCAACTAATTTAACCATCGATTAATATTTTTTTTTTTTTAAATGTCCAAATTCTCTGATTTTAGCTTCTCAAAAGTGAATATTTTCTATTTTAGTCCTCTATGACAGTAAACGGAATATCTTTGGGTTAAGGACAAAACAAGACATTTTATTTTTTCAAACAATTTTGGACTAGTCGAGAAAATGATTGCCAGATTAATTAATAACGAAAATGTAACAATGGAATATCAGAGACCACATAATTCTGTTCCAGAGAACACAGGTTGACTTAAACCACAGCTAAACTACTGACAGAGGAACAGCCATAAATACTTGTTTTCTTAAAATATTTGAACTTCTCTTGCTGACCAGTTTCAAATAAAAGTACAGTATGATTTTACCTTTTGACAAGCTGAAGAGAAGTGCTTCTCTTAGTCATATCGGAGCTGCACCTGTAAATATACAGCTGCACTGTCAGGAAGGCACTCTGTCTTCAATAGTTTCTCCTGCAACAAAAACACCATCATTTAACATTAGTAAAAACTGTGTACAGGAGTGGCCCCAGACAACATCTTTGAGGCACTCCGTTTTTCACTTCTTTGACATCTGAATAACTTCCATTTAAGTACATCATTTGCCTTCTGTGACTGAGAAAAACCATCAAATTTTTCAACATCAACTCATGAGCTGAGATATCAAAAGCAGCAGGAGAAATAAAGCAAAACTGCTCCTACAATTTTACAAGAAATCATTAGCATTAATTCAACTTTAGCAACACTAACTTGCTTGAATTCAAAAAAACATGTTTTACATTATTAAAAAATATTTAAAATGCGTAGTTTTTACTAAGTAAAAATGAGAGCCTTCATCTTTCCGAAATGCACATATTTTGTTTAATTTATAAAGTGTTTAAAATGTGTATTATTTTACTGATGAGAGGAAATAACAACCTGTTACAGTAACTCTGCTTAAATGCTTTTACCTGTTTTAAGGTGTGCTAGAAAGCTTAAAAAAATACACACAGTGGGCCTATATGTCAGCATTTGGTTCACTTCTGTGAAGAAAAGTAAATGTGAAGTAAATTGTCTAATAGAACAACGGCCAAGTGCCAGTGACAAGAAAGCACTGAATTTGTCAAAAAAGAAGCCTATTAAGTCTGTATGAAAACCACATAATGCAGACAGAGAATTGAATAAAAAGTTCCCTAAACAGGAAATAATCGGCTCAACATTCATCCAAATCACCTGCAGTTCACTATTTGGGTTCATTGTACAGTTTTCAATACAATATAGGTTTAGTATAAAATTCCCCACCAGTTTCTACATAAGATGGCCACCCCCTCTTATTATGTCCTCTCTATAGGTACTTTAAAGTTTTCCTTAATGGTTTACTATGTTGTTTAATGTCAAATTCTTCTAATATCATAACACCGTTTATTATAAATATCCATATTTGGTCTTCCCAATCAACCTCACATGGATGTGTCCATGTTATGGATATATTACAACCACTACTCTAATGAATGACAGGAATGTCAAATGAGAGGAATGTTGCAAATGCACAACTTGCTAATAGAAATAGCTCAGGTTTAAAAGCAGACTAACTCCTCACTGTTAAAGCCCAGTAAGGCAGAAACTCTGCAGTCTATCCGGTCGTCCCGTTAAACACTTTAAACGTTTAGTTGGTTAGCTTAACTAACCGGCTGATGAAAAAACAATGGACAATAGAATGGCTTTATTTGCTAACATAACCCACAATGCAAAGCACCCACAGGTAAACAGCGATAAGGGTATATGACAAAACACTACAGAGGCAAACGGTAAAGGGAAAGAAAATGTACCGAATACGACTCTTTGACCAAACCTCTCTTGATTTAAGGCTATATTTATCCCCGGCTGTTAGCTAGCGCTGGTTAGCCAGCAAGCTAACAAACTCAGTAGCGATAGCTCGCTAGCTTGTGTTGACTTTTTGTACTTCAGAGTTGGGAAGCGTTACATAGAAACCCCAGTACGCTGAATGCATCGATATTTAAGTTGATTCTATGTATTTCATGACAAACACAACAGCTTTGATACTATAAAACAAAGACTTACTTGACAGACACTGAGCCGACGTTCAACTTAGCCAATCAGCTTCCAGACGGGAAGGGCTGGAGTTGTCAAAGCTGCATATTTCTGTCTCTTTCCACTCAAATCCAACACTGAACTGCTTTATCGTCTCTTAAAAGTTCCTAAAATGACAGTCTGTTGAGCATCATTTCGGTGTTGATCAATCAGCTTTAACAACAAAGTCTCTCTGTGAGCAGTTTGACCCCAACAGGAAAAACAATAAAGCTTCCGCCTGCAGTCCTTCAAAATAAAAGCATAATTTCCTCTCATCTAAACCGACAACATCTGAAAAACAAAGCAAAACAAAAAACTAGAGACTTCTGCTGATGAAGTCCTTTAGGTGTACGTTATATTTTTTGTAAAAATGCAACTTTTAAAGAAGACATTTTATATTATACATAGCTTATGGAAACTCAACAGGATTCAAAACAGAGAACAATGATTCAGTAGATCAATGAATTAGTTAACCCTATTATTTGAGAACAAATTACATTACAGTGGAGAACCAAACAATCATTAACATACTAAATAAGAATACAAAGAGGCGGTAATCAACACAGGGGTGTTGCGATATACCAACATTGACAATAAAGAAATTATTATACTTAATGTTGTAATCGTGTTAATAGTACACATATAATATTGTGTAAATAATCCAGCACCTCTTAAATCATTTCCAGGACTTTACATTCTGACTTTGTAGGTCACACTCCGACATGGCGGTGCCAGTGTTACAGTTAATTCATTTCCCAAAAAACAATAAAAGGTTAAAGATGAATTTGAGTGATAGCATTTTCTTCACAGTTTCTAAAGATATCCCAATAATATCAATATCATCATATCTTTTGGACATAATAATCGTGTAGTGAAAATCTGGTATTGTGACAGCCCTAGTTGGGAGTATACAACATATTCTGGTAAAGGATTTGGATGGTGTACAACCAAGAAAGTAGCACAGTTCAAATTAGGTGACATACGGTCCAGTCCATCAGTTATTACTATAATTTTCCTATGGATATTTAAAGAACACAATATAAAGACACAAGTATTACAAAGAGAAGAAAGTGATGAGAGAGAAATAATGCTAATAATAATAATAACTGGTTATTTAGTTCAAGAACATATTAAGTAGAGCTATTATGCCTTTAGAGTATGTTCAACCAACCAAACAGTGATTTGTTCAGATTCAGCTGCTACAATCTAAATGTTTAAATGAACACAAATGTTAAGAGATTATCTTTTGATTTTTGATGACTATTGTGTCTGTTGAATACCGGTGCAAATGGGAGTGGCTGTTATATTGAAAAATTGTTGTCACACTTAGTAAAATACAGTACTGCATCAAAGAATGATGAAAACCTGGAAATATGGGATAAAGACAACAAAGGTAGGGTTCGCTATAGAATATATAAAATCCGCTTTAGAGTGAGGTATAGAGGCAGGCGTCAGGAACAAGGTGATCTTTAAAAGACTAGGATATTGAGGACACAATTCAATGTTGTGTATCATGTAAAGTAAAAGTTCTTCTTCTCCAGTCCAGATTTTTTTAAAGGCGCTTAATCAGAAAACCAAACACATTTGTTCCTCTCCACACTATCTTCAAACTCTAAAATACTTATTTTATGTGACTGTAATTATTTGCTATCTCTTTTCTGTATATGTTATGCATTCTATGTTTCTGACCTGTTGGATGTTTTACTAAAATTAAAAGTGCACTGTTAATGTTGCTGCATACAATTCCTCAGTCTGCATACAGTTTCCTGCTCTTTCCTGTGCGTTCTCCTCCTTCCTATAACCATATCTACTCTTGTTTAGTCATAGTAATACTATTGCCGCTCTTGATTTATTTATTTCCATCTCCACTATGCTTTACCCTCTTACTTTTTCTTAAATGTCAGATGTCTCCTTCAGAAATCTAAAAGAAAAAGAAAAACAGGCAATTACCTGTTATATGGTATTTTTTCATTTCATTGAATTATTATTTTACACATGTAGTCTTTATATAGTAAACAATATTTGACTATGTTGTTCCTCTGTTGAATGTAGTCTACTGTTTAAAAAATGCACAACAAATTAAGACTTCCGGTTGTAGCCATAAATTCTTATTGACCAATGGTTATATCAAAATAAAAGCCTTACTGATAAAATAATTCCACTTTTCCTCGTCCTTCTACCTTTTATGAACATTAAAAACGTCCAAAAGTGAAAATACAGTTGCTCATTAAGCAAAACGTGCATATAAGATGCCATAAGAAGCCACTATTAAAATATAGCCTATAGAGAAAGAGATAGGCTATAAAGGCTCTCTCACACACAGAGCTGCTGTTAATGTATGCCTAAAGTCTGTCAAACAGCTCCTGGGGAAGTTAAGCAAGTTTACTGTTTCGGTTCAAGTCATTTATACGTCGATATAGCGATTCATTGGTTTTATTTTGAAGGCTCATGTGGCACGCATCCGGTCTCATTTTACTGACTTGACTCAATTTGTTGACCTAATTGTTGCAGCGCTGCTTCCGCGTGTGTCACGTGGCAGCGGTACCCGGAAGAGCCGGCAGCAGCATGGAGCGCGCAGCCGGCTACAGCCAGCGCTTTGACTGTCTGACAGATGCGTACAGATGTTTTCTGACGGGGTCGTGTCCCAGCGGAGGTGCTGCGGACGTGGCGGCTGTGATACTCTCCGGGGTGTGTGCGCAGCTCTCCGGTGAGGAGGACCGAGGCTGTGCTCCTGCAGCGCGCTGCCGTGAGCTGAGCTGCGTCAGTGTGAGTCTGCTGGAGAGGATCAGCTCCAGCCTGGCGGACCAGAGCCCGGCGGACCAGAGCCCGGCGGTCCAGAGCCTGCCTCCAGCTGTGGCGCTGTACTGCGCGGAGGTCCTCAGGGTGCTGTTTCAGGACATGGGTCTCATGTCGCAGCTCGTGAGTGCCCCTTTCAAAAGAAAAGTGTTATTGATTGATTTTGTACAGTGCAGTACATCTAAGGCGCCCACTGTTCCACAGGTCCATCAGTTCCAGGCTGAGGACCAGATCATCTCACATCTGGCTGCCAAGAGTGTGTCAGCATGGGTTTTCTACCAGCTCCTCAAATCAGTGAGTTCTCAGAGCTGCACTCATAGAACCCAGGTTGTAAAATAACTGGTGGTCCAGATCTCAGCCCGCTTTATGACCATAGCTGGCCCTATTCTGGCTCTATTCTGGCCCAGTGTTAGACCAGTTTCAGCACTCGTTTTTGTTTGCTTATTATGAATACCATTAAAGTAATGTAAGTGGGTCACTGGGCCAGACCAATTTCACCATGTATTCAAACCCATGAACCCTATTAAAACCTTTAGTCTCATATCAGCTCCTTTCTACGTATGAGCTCTGAGCACACCATAACATTACAATCAGCCTGTTCGCTCTTTACTCTCATTGAAGTGACTGACAGTGTCGATGAGCGCAGTTTGAGCGAGTTTGGCCTAAAGCTGCCCTAAACATGGACCAAAAAGGTCAAAAGGTCAGGTGATTCAGAAGGAGGGGTGGCAGAAAAAATGTAATTGAGCTGTTTATCAGTGATTAACAGTGATCATTGGACCAATACTAGCTGCGTAGAGCAGCACACTGTCTTGTTGTATCACGTTCTAACAATACATGTGTTTAATATACACTTTGATTTCTCAGGGTGCTATAAGTCCTGTCTGGGAGCAGAAGTGTGTGCAGGCATTTCACAGCTCACCCCCTGGTACTGAGTTGGATGCCTGTCTGTGGTCGCTGACGGAGGTCTTAAAAAGACTTCTTAAAGGAGCTCATCAAGGTAAAACCCCGCTGCTTTGTGCATTCACAAGCTTTTTGGTCACATGTTCATCAGCCAGCAGAAGCTCAGATATCCTGTTTCCCTGATCCAGGGTCGTCATACTACGTGTTGTAGTCATTGCCATCTCCCAAAACAAGCACACGTCAGTGACTATATGGTTTTTAAAATTGATCATTTTCACAGCAGCCATTTGGACATTAAATAATAGGGTAATTACTGGTGTTCTAATTAAGGTTCTTTTCCATTTAGTGTATCAGAGCCTTTCCAGTGAGCCAGCACGCACAATAGCAGCACCCTGACTGTGTTTGACCTAATGGAACCTTAATTAGTACACCTCAACACTCAACATATCATTGGAACACCTGTGTTTACCCTACTATTGTCAAATGAGTCAAAGTGGCAGCTATTTTAAGGCCAATACCAATAGCAATATTTGAGAGTATCAGCCAATATTTATTCTTTTACATGAACACATACCATAAGCATTTTGACAAGGATCACCTAAGATATTTAGTTTACAGAAAAAATCAGCACATCTCTATATTGGAGAAGCTGCAACCAGACAATGGTTGCCATTTCTGCTTGAATGAAATAATCAAAAGATGAATCAACTATTGAAATTGTAGCACACAAAATTGCTAGTTAAGACCAACATGAAAGCCAGATTAGAGCCACTCAGGTTGCTTGCAACGTGATCCTTGTTGGGTCTGATTTGAATGTGTGTGTTTTCTTCCATCAGAGATTATTGGGAAGCTTCTGGCAGCGTTTGACTCCAGCCTCACTGCTTTATGTAGGTTTCTCCCTGAGGAGGGAGAGGAAATGGCACAGTGTTTGGTGGACTTTACCAGGAGCAGACACTCAGGAACAACATTCTGCCTCCTGCTGGACCTGCTGGAGGTGCTCACCGCATCCAGCTTGATATGTGGAGCTGGCGTCTGTCTGAAGAGTCAGAGAATGACCCACATCCACTCCTCAGCCCTCCTTACAGTAATCAGCTCCTCCTCAGAGTATTTTGTCAAAAAGCGAGCGCTGCTGCTCCTAAAGAGAGCTGTGCTGCAGAAGGCTGGAGAGGACTGGGCTTTAGGAGAAGTGCCGCTCACCGGCCTGAAGTACGAGCACTTCCACTTTGATATGAGCATCCTGGCTCAGAGCGTGTTGACTGCAGTGGCTGCTAATTGGTTACAGAGCGTTCAAGTGGAGTCTGCCTCTTTCTTCGGGGGGACCAGACGCGGTCAAGGTGACGAAGGTCAGAAACCAGACTGTGTGATGCTTAGAGCTGTCAGCCTGCTTCTTCTCAAGTCCATGGAGCTTCACATCCAGACAGCTGGCGGAACAGGTGAGAACCCATGATGGACATCACAACATCAGTGTACATACATTATAACAGACAGGTGATGGTGTATGTGTATGGTGTGTAATTCTGGACTGTTTGAAAGCATTGATTTAAACTAATGTAAAGTGTCAAGATGTTTGGATTAAAGGACCAGTGTGTAGGATTTAGTGGCATCTAGTATGTAGGAAAAACAACAGTGGCCACAAAACTCCTGAAAAACCCAAAAGGCCTAACCAGAGTTAGTGTTTGATTTGTCCATTCTGGGCTACTGTAGAAACTTGGTGGTTTATTATTTTTCTGACTCACTTCAAACCTCCAGAGAACTTACTGTTTCACTCTCTCAAAGTGTTATTTTTTCAGCCAGCTGTTTCTAGACAAAAAGCTGTAAAACCCACTGTACATTACCCGCCCAGCACCAAACAGCAGACTGATACAGTCAGCAACGAGCATTTAGCAGCTAAACAGCCAGATATTTCCCTCAGGAATTGGAGAGGTAAAAGGGAGCAATTAAGCAACAGTAAAATGTGTTTATTGCAGGTTTGATGTTTTCAGTAGATTTTGGTAATCATGTTCTGTGGTCTTGACAGTTTGTCTTTTCAAACACTTGAGTTGGTAGGTGCCAAATTAGATTCATCAGCTATGTGTAGTAAGAAAGTGAATTCTGCACTCCCTGTATTATAGCATCTCCACAGAAGGGGGCACTCCTCTCACATATGAGGTGAGTTGCTATGCTGATACCCTCCCTCTGTCTTCTCTCAGCTGGAGCGGACAGTCCTGCAGAGGTTTATGGGTATCTACAGAGTCTGTGGGGCTTCCTGAAGAGGAACAGCGTCCAGCTGATGGAGGTCACTCACCTCTGCTGCTGGGTCAGCCTGCTGTTTGGAGAACAGGACGACGACATGATGGAGGCAGCCAAAGCTTTGCTCTCTGTGTTCCTCCATCACAGGTACAACAGACACACAGTCAGCAACATGATGCTCAATCCAGGGGTTAGCTTTCTATCTGACTTACTCCTGGTTGGCTTAAGGTACAATGGGAAATGCCTGGTTGTCCCCTCACTAAGAGCTCATAGGCTCAGTTTGTTTGACCAAAAACACTGTGTTCTGAAGAAAGTTTTCATCTACTGTTTAATTTATCATACATAATATTCTGAAGCCACAGATACCAGATTTATACACACCTACTCATTGCTCTAGTGCGATGCTGCAGATTGTAGTTTATGAAGCGTAACCAGGGTGATGAAAACAAACTATTATATAGTTGACCAAAGCTGATTCCTCCAGATGTGGCTGGAGATTGCACAAAAAGAGGAAACGCAAGCTTGAATTTGTCCATCTTCAGACTTAAACAGATGTGATTGGTAGATGGAGCAAGATGAAAGTGTAATGTGACCTCACCTGAACACTCCTTCTACCAGAGAAGAGAAACCAATCATAGGCCTTTTCCATCAACAGTGAATCGGGGTCTGCTCTGGTTCGCACACCTAGTTTTGAAGCGTTTGGAGCTTTTTGACCAAAAATAAATTGGTTTAAGAACCCAAAAACAGCAGGTTCTTGGGTTCCAGACAAAAAGTGTGTGTGTCATATCCTACAGTTGTGCATTGTACAGTGCCGTCTTTTGATGATGTATCCCTGATTAGAATGGTACTGCTCAAAACTGGTGGAAATGCAGGCTGGTTGGAACAGTTTTAGTGAACAATTTGGTGGAAAAAAAACTATTTGTGATATTAGCAGGTTCCATGTTTTCCTGAACAGTCTGTCTCTCTGTGCAGAGTGTGCTCTGGGTTAGATGACTTCGCTGTGCTGGAGGCAGCCTGCGCCTCCGGCTGCAACCCTCACTGCCACTTCCTGCTTCTTCTTCAGAGCATCTCCTTTGACCACAGCATCCTCCTCGACTTCCTCATCTCCACTGAAACCTGCTTTCTGGAGTACTTTGTGCGTTACCTCAAGTGCCTCAGAGCTGACTGGCGGGGCTTCACCGCTGCATGTGGAAGAATCTGCGTGTCAGACTGCCATCTTTCGCTCACTGCCTCACGTGGCAGTGATTTGTTTGCACCAACATATAAAGGTGGGCCAGATCGAGTTTGGTTCCAGCCCACGGGTGTTGTTTCACCAGTGGGCTCAACTTCTGGGCTCCGCCTCGTAGACTACGGTAGTTCTGACGAGTCTGATCCAGAGACCATGGATTCTCAGGACGAAGCAGGGACCTCTGTATGCGAGAAAAGTAGATCTGGTGCCTTGGATGTGAAACAGGAGAGCAGTGGACCACCAGTACTTATCAGACAGAAACAATACGAGTCCTCTCCCTCAACAGGATTACTCCGTGAGGACCGAAGACCAGAAGGGTCATCACTGCTGGTGTTACACAATGAGCAGACACCATGTCCGAACACACCGCCTCCGTCAGGACAGGTGAACTGTGAGACATCAGCCAGAGCAGTCCTCTGTCTGTCAGAGCTCAGGGAGGTTGTGACAAAGCTGCAGACAAAGAAACTCTTCCCATACAACCCTTCGTCACTCTTGAAGCTCTTAGCACAAATACAGCAATCACATCTGTCACAGTTCTAGAAATGAATAAAAATACATTTAATTTGTGTTTTGTTCTGTTTAATGAGGTGATGCAGCAGCCTTGGGTTCGACTCCATCCTCCGTTCCTCTGCCAGATGTTATCCTCTCTCTGTCCCCCATTTCCTTCCACTCTTCAGCTGTCATTATCCATTAAAATCAATAAAAGCCAAAAATAGTATATATATAAATATGTGTCTGTTAGTCCTCCTAAATCCTCCTGAATGTCCTCCCTTCCACCCGGTGCCTGCTGGGACAGGCATGTGGGTAAAGACCAAGCCCCCAGGAAGAGCACCGGGCTTTGAAGCCAATTTGACATAGTGTAATGACAGCAATGGTGTCAGAAAAAAGAAAGAGCAAAATAGCACGTTTTTAGCACAACCTTTATATTTGAAAGTGTTTCTGTTGTTGTTTCATACTAGTGGAAACTTCCCAGGTACCTTTTTATGTGGCTTACATTAATCATTAGTTTGAAGTGTCATCAGCATGCTCTATTGATTTAGCTTGACTCACCAGTACACTGTTTGCTCTGTCAGTAGACACACACACACACCCTCCTGTGATGGAGCTGACTATAAGCCAGCATACTGTTCTGTTTATATGCAACAAAATGCGTTTTGAGAATAGTCAGTCTATTGAGAATGATAATTAATATCAGTGTAAATGCTTTCAGCCTACTTGAAATGACATGATCGTAAATCACAGATATTAATCTAAAAAGGCAATGAAAGCGACTACGGAAATGTTTGTTTGACAAGACAGACAAACGCTTGGAAGGCGAGTGGTGTTCAGTTGGTTGCGATCTGCAACTTCACCACTAGATGTTACTAAATCTTACACACTTGTATTTAAAGGACCAGTGTGTAGGATTTAGTGGCAACTAGTGGTGAATTTGCAGATTGCAACCAACTCGCCTCACCCTCTTGTTCCAAGCATGTAGGAGAAATTACGGTGGCCGCGACCCCCCCTTTTTTATATCTTTTTTTTTTTTTTTTTTTTTTTTTTTGGTTGTTTTTTTTTTTTTTTTTTTTTATTTTTTTTTTTTTTAAATTAAAAAAAAAAAATTTTTTTTTTTTTTTTTGTTTTTATTTTTTTTTTAATATATTTTTTTATATTATTATTATTTTTTTGTAATAGATACATTGTTACACATTGGACCTTTAAGTGTAAAATGATGAGTCAGAATGCTTAAAGTGGTTGAACTGTCAGTGGAGGGATCTGCAGGATCACTTGATGTGCAAGCTGACATAGTGTCATCAGTTCTAAATTAAACATATTTGTAATTAGGGTGTTTCTACTAATATACAGTACTTTTCTGTACAAGTCAATTAATTGAATTGAAGTCAACAGTTGCCCAGTTGCCTCTAATGTCCCTCAATGGTTTGTTTTGTGGGAGAACCTGCTTTTGTACTTACTGTATCAGAAACACAGTACAAACAAGGTTATCAGGTCCCATGAGGGCAAAGCTTGTGTGTGCGTGTGCGTGTGTGTGTGCGTGTGTGTGTGGCAATCTGCTAACCTACCTCTACTTCCTGGAGGGGAGGGAAAAAAAGAAACGTTCCCAGGTAATTGTGGCTGTGCTGGGTGTGACCCTAAAGAATGTCAAACAAAGAGAGAGTGGCTGGCTGCCTGTTATAGCGGAGAGATAGAGGATTTTGCCATCCCTGGTAATTTCCCACAGTAAACACAGCAGCCAGGGTGGAAACAACCTGCTCTATCTGGTGGCACTGACAGTGGAAAGGTAAGCCTGCGTTTTCCTGTGACCTTGGGGTGTGATTGTTTTTTAGCTTGAATGTGAGTGACAGTTGTTTTTTCTCCCTATTCTGGTGTGAATGTGTATCCTGTGCTGAAGTTAGAGGTCCAAGGCCACCTGCAGCCACAGGTGGGGAGCTGTTTGATCAGAAGAGATCCTGCAGTTCAGAAAAGTTTGCTCTCAGGCTCTGCGAGCTTTGTCACGGCTGAGTTGGGATGAATGACATCCCTGTTCTCAGAGAGATCAACACAAAGATCCAGTGAGATCCAGGTTGTGTGGTCTGCCCGCTTGAAATCAAAAGATTGGAGGTTAAGATTAGTTAGAGGTTTAAGATGTTTTAGCTGTTTTCTATCTCCGTTTGACAGCTTCAAGGACCTCTATTGCTGGGTAACCTTTGTAGGGCCGGCACCTATGTAAAGGTGGAATAACAAGTACTTTGACTGGAGTCACATCTTGTTTATTGTTGCTGGAAGTGCTGAACAAAGAGCAGCTAATGGACAAGTCAAGAACGGTATTTATAAAGCCTGAGGTCATGAAAATCAGCTCTGAGCTCTGTTTATTAGATATAGAGAGTTTATTCTTCTTCACTGGTACTTCAATATTTTAAAAGTGACACTTTCAGCTTTTGTCCTTCATTCCAGACAAATATTCTACTTTTATTCCGCATTTTAAAATCTTGTGTTACTGCTGTTTACTTTAAGGTGTATTTCCTGATTTTTGAAGTACACAAAAGAGCTCACTGTTGACACTTTGAGTCAGCCCGAGCTGAAATCAAACAGAGAGTAATCTGTGCAACATGAAGCTGAACATATTTTCTCATTACTGAGTGAATCCCCATTGGGTTTTAAAAATACAGTACCAGGATATGAATTGCAACATAATATGAAGGAGAATGTCCTACAAACCCTCTAGGACCCCTCTCCAGTATCTCCCTGTGGGTTATGGAAATCAATTAAGGTTATTTTTTAACATCTTCATTTATCCTTCTTCTGGCATTAAGTGATCAATGAGACATTCTGCTATACACAACATTCCGCCAACTAAAATGTGCGTCCTGGCCTGGCGCTTTTTCCTCTATATTTTGCTGTACCGTGTAGTGTGCAGTGGCTCCTAGTCTTGAGTCTCTGTAGCTAGGCTAGCTATGGATTCCAAATCAAAAAAACTAAAGGTCTCTGAGGAAAATAGAGAATTTATTACTGCGTGGACAGATTTGTTTGCTTTCACCACCAACACTGCTGGCTTAATCTGTGGAGAGAAAAATGGCCAGGTCTCCAGGACACAATGCCATGAATGTAGAATCAAGAATTAAGTCTGTAACAGACTAAGAGCATACACTCATATGATATGGTTTTGAGTTTTCAAAAACATTTAGGCATTTAGAAAGAAAGAAAAGTAGTGGTTGGAGCCAGTTTATATGGATATAGGAAATATTGATTGGTTTGAAGAAGTAATTTCAGGGTTCTTTTGATTCGGACAACAAATTGAAAAAAATGTCAAAAAGGACCTGTATCCAGAAAGATCCAATGGTATACGAGTTTATCGATCAGTATATCATTTCATATCAAATCATATAATAAAAAGATAAAAATAAAATATGTCAAAGATCCAGTCTGTAATCTTCTCTGTCACAACACAAATGTATCCCCACCGTGGATAGTACCGTATTTTTGTGCATTTATTCCAGTGAGAGAATTCCATATTTTGGACCGTGGGTTGACGCTTATACTGTATTCTGGTAACAAAAATAAAATCCCTCCATCAGGATGAGCCACAGCTGAAAAGGACGGGCCCCCCAGGAGACTAGGGAGGGCTCTGTTTGGATCTAGTGAGATTGTCTTTGCAGTGAAACAACCAGGATCACAGGCAACCACTCCCCAACTGCAACAAGCTAACACTGATGCACTAATGTGGTGGGGGGTAACATATCAGTGCTAGGACAAGCTAAACTGGGTTGCATACAGCAACAGCAAAGCAACAATGAGAGACTGCACTGAGCTACAGAAGCTACTGGGACAGAGGTTAGAGCAGAGGTGACGGCAGGACCTTCCAGGTGTTTTTACACCTATTTGATTGGCCAGCACATTGCGCCGGCCATCAGCAGCAACCTCCCCCCAAAGAGGTTTTGTAGCCCAGCTTTCAAACAAACTTTGCAGTGGGTCGTGGTTTGTTGGCTGTCGGACGCCACAAAACCAAACCAGTTCCAAACAGCTGACGACACTGTGCCTTTTTTGGGGAGGAGCTCATCCTGGCTTGCTGCCATGTTGTGTTTTATCTGTGGAGAGGCGGGGGAAGGGGTCAGCGCACTCTGACCTACGGGAGCCCAAAGGGAGCGCCGGTGTTGTGGATGTTCAAGAGAAAACCGATTTTAACTAAAAATAAATCGTGTTTAACTACAAATTCGAATTAATCGATAAAACCGATTTATCGCCCAGCCCTATTGACAGCTTTTTCACTTTCTCTTTCTCTCTCTGTCCTTTTCTCTTTGGCTGTTGAAATGGGCGTGGAAGTGCTCTCGAGAGTAAGGGAGGGATCACTGGGTCAATATTTGTTTAGGAAACAGACCTTTATGTACATTACAGTAACTGTAGCATCTGCAACTACAGTCTGCTTGTTGTAGACTCTTTCTGGAGCCCTTCCCTCCATATCTGTCATCAGAAATAACTCAAACTTTTGCACTTTTGTCATTGCTTGGTGTGTTGTAATAATTTATAATTAACTGAACGATATATTAAAATGGATGGTTAATGTGCAAGTCACACTGTTTGACAGAGAAAAACAAACCGAGACAAGGGGAGAACAATGGGTGTATGAAATGGTCCAAACATGGAAGCATTTACATCGTAGTGAAAGCTGCTCAGCCAGGACACACTCCAGAGGTTTCTCCTGCTTCCTATTCATGCCATCTTTGGCATCAGGGTCACATATTTTACTTCTGCCATGCTTCTGGAACTTTAAAGCCCTTCTTCAGTCAAAAAAAATGTGTTTCTTCTTGTTCCTACAGTGTGATATTTAAATGATGTACAGTATGTGTAGAGTTTGACTCTAGAAGGATGTTTTCCCTTTTGCTCTGTCCTCCAATAACAGCTGAGCAAGCCCTGTGCTGTGGCCATGTTCTACGCTCATCTACGTTGAACTAACAATCACATTTTAAAGATTTTAAAGACACATATATAGGCCTATATAGTCATTCAAGTTAGCTAGCTAATGTTGGTAAAATGCTAACTAACTAACTAGCCAACACATTTTCATCATCCTCAGTTAGCTACTTAGCTAATGTTAGCTAACTTAAGATGTGACTATATAGTATATTTTGCTTTTGTCTTTTAAAGGTCCGGTGCAGTTCAGTGTAACATTTAGGAGGAGGTATTGGCACAAATTGAATATAATAATGTTTTCATTAGTTTATAAGACACCATGTAGGATTTGGTGTGTCCTCGTTCAC